TCGGCCGCCCGCACCGTCACGTTGTACTCGGACACCTGCTCACGGTCCAGTTCTCTCGCTGTCACCACGCTGTAGTAGCTGCCCTGCGAGCTCTGTAGCCGGAAAGGGATATCCCTATCGAGCGAGCAGTGCACCTCGCCGCTCGCCCCCGAGTCGCGGTCTTGCACATGCAACAGGGCTATAACAGTTCCTGGCGGGGCGTCCTCTGAGATCGAGCTCAGGGCCGATCGCACAGAAATCTCTGGTACGTTGTCATTGACATCTGTCACAGTGATAACAACTTTCGCCGTGTCAGAAAGCTCTCCTCCGTCATGTGCCTGCACCTCCAGTTCATGGGAGGAGATTTTCTCGAAGTCCAGATGATCTTTAACAGATATTTCTCCTGTGTCAGAGTCAAGATGAAAAAGTTCTGCGGCTCGGTCTGAGATTTTATGGAAGCTGTATTTCACGTGCCCATTCAGACCCTCATCGGCATCGGTGGCTGTAACTGTGACGAGGACGGAGCCCACGGGCACGTCCTCGGGCACACGCACCGTGTACTCCGCCTGGCTGAACACGGGAGCGTTGTCATTCGCGTCCAGCACTGTCACGTGAATATGCGCCGTGCCCGTCCGTGCCGGATCGCCGCCGTCACTCGCCCTCAGCACCAGCTCGTGAAACGCCGCCTCCTCCCGGTCCAGCGCCTTCGCCAGCACCAGCTCGGGACGCTGATCRCCGCCGGGGCCCGCCTGCACGGCCAGCGAGAAGTGCTCGTCGCCGCTCAGCTCGTAGCTCTGCAGRGAATTCCTTCCTGAATCTGCGTCTTGTGCTTCCCGGAGGGGAAACCTTGACCCCGGGGCAGTCAGCTCGCTCACTCTCAATTCCTTTTCTGTCTCTCGAAAAGTGGGCGCGTTGTCGTTAATGTCTGTGATTTCCACTTCAATTTCATAGAACTTCATTTCCCCTTCCACTATCAGTTCACAGCGCAGCACGCATTTCTCCAGCAGCCGGCACAGCTGCTCTCTGTCGATCCTCTCGGCCGTCACTAAATATCCCGTCTTCCCATGCAGAACGAAATATTGCGTCCTACCTTCGGATACAATGCGGACGCCGCGGTCGCTGAACTCCGGCAGCTGCAGCCCCAGGTCCTTGGCCACGTCACCCACGAACGAGCCCTTGGGCATCTCCTCGGGTACCGAGTAGCGCAGCTGCCCCCACGCCGCCTCCAACGCTGCCAGCAGAACACCCCAGAGCAGAGCTCGCTGCCGCCGACCCCAGCGCCTCCCCGCCGCGCTCATCTCCGCCGCGGCAGCGCAACACTGTCGGGAGCTCTCCGCCGCCGCTCACAGATCAGGCTCACGCTATAGCTCCGGCGCGCTGCTCCCAGTTGCTGCTGGTGCCAGGCTCTTACGTCCTCCTTCAGCACTTTTCCGCACTGCTGGGGCGATCTCACGCCGCTCCGCCGCCGACCTGCGCTACGGGAGAGCGATCGAGCCGGGCCTCAGTGGGCGGGGCTGCAGCGCTCCGACCTTCCTCAATCTCCTCTCGGTCAACAGCGGCGCCCGCAGCCTCCTCCCGGCACTGCACGCACAGTGTAATGTAATGCAAGTCTCTTAATAAGACGTACGAAGTATTACCGGTCTTAACACACTGGTTCAAAAACAGAACTTTCATCACAAATATTTGTAGAAGTTATGACTGAATGACCAGCGCAAGTGTGGCCACAGAAAACCGTCTCTGATATACAGCTGTAGGTTAATTCCTCACTCTGCACCAAATGTACGTACAGGAGATAGGAAAGCACCTGTAATGAACCTGACAATTTTATACGTAATTATATTCATACAAGTAATTCTGTAATCTCAGGAAGAGGGTTTTATTATCTCAGAAATTAAGTTGGAAAGGATAGACCCTCGTTAGCAAAACATGTTCTAATTAATGTATATTCATGTAACTATGGCTCATTGTCAACAAAATGCTTTAGAAGAGTGGTAAAAGAGAAGTGCAGCCGCATACGTTAAAAGCTTGTGTCCCTTGATAAGTATTCAAATATACCTGATTCAAGAACACAAATTCTCATTAGGCAAATTTCCTTCATATTTGATGTATATTTTTGGATTTTAGAGCTTTATTCATTCAAACAGACATATGTAACTAATACTGGTGGGGAAAGAAAAGAAGATAAGAGAATGAATTGTCTATACTAGTTCCCAGCACTTTTCTTTTTTTGTGAAAAAGATATGAAAAGAGGCTCTGAAAGGAAAACATGCGACTCAATCTTCCTCTACACCGGTGCATGAAGAAAATACTACGAATGATTAAAAAAAAAAAAAAAAAAAAAAAGGAGAGAGATAGAGAGCGTTACCAGACAGGATGCCAGTATGTCAGGATGTAAAAATAAAGTCAGGAAACTTAACTCTTCGCACTGCTGGTACTGTTACTGCCATTTCTACAGCAGCCTTCTCACACACGCACACACAAACACACGCACACACACACACACACACACACACACACACACACACAAAAAAGGTCTCTTTTTTTATTCTGGATGGAAAACCTGTCACTTTTCTATTCATGAAGTACAGAAACGAGTCCTTTTGGTGTCCAAGACCGAACAAGCATTAACGAACGGGTAGGTGGTCATCTCATAGCCAGGCCCCCGAAAAGGTCCCAGATGTTTCAGATTAAACCAATAATTAGGAAAAATCTACAACAGTTAGTATCTTCATTATTTCCCCGACTCCTTAAAGAAAAGCTAGCGAATCACCTGCAGAACAATGGTTCTCCTTCACATTCACTTATTAATGTGTTTTAAGTCAACGCAAGAGATATAGACAAAACCTCTTAGATGAATCTGTAGCTGTGACCATCGAAGAACCACGTACCACCGATTACTGCCTGTTCTTAGAGAAAGAAGTGACCACGTTCTTTTATTCGGAGACATGGACCAGCCCTCCCGACCTAAACAACCAGGGCGGAGGAAACCCAGGGAAAAGAAAGCAACGGTTGGGAAAGGTTCAAAAGAAACAGCCGAAGCCCACGGCTTTACAGACCTGCGATGTGTCGGGGTAGGCGGGCGGCTCTCCCACAACGGCGCTGCTGTTCACAGTCGGCTTCTCGCAGCAATCCCCGCCCAGAAGCTCCTCCGCCGACAGGATGGGCACCGGCGGCGGCGGCCAAGCGGCCTCGGGCACGGCGCGGGCCGGCGCCGCCACGCACAGGTTGTAGGAGTAGGGCAAGGTGCCCTCGCAGAAGTCGGCCGGGAAGGCGGCGCCGGCCACCGAGAAGCGCTGCGCGCCCAGGC